AAAATTATATAAATTTTATATACTTTTTCGACTACCAAATATTAATAGTTTCTGGCGCGGGCTAAAAGTGATAATACAATCTGGTTATTCGTTTGCTTCAATAAATCGATAGAAGTGATGATCTTGGCAGCTCTATTATTTTCAACTTTTAACTTTTTTTTTTTGGAAAAATCAACCGAAATTTTTAAAAGTAATAGTTTCAACGTTAAAATCTTAAATTTATCAGCCCTGTACTATTAGTGAGTGTTTGTTAATAAAATATTTTCGATAAGTAAATTAAAAAGGCAGTGAGTGCCGAAACCAACCCCGTTAGTTTTTGAACACATTCTGTCTAAAGGTGTTCCACTTTAGCATACTTAAGGGACTAAATATGCTCAGGGTTATGTTTGAGGGACCAAAATAGACCTACCCTAACCCGTCTAATAAATATAAGCAGGCTCTAATAAGCAAGTGGACATGAAACTCATTATAGTATTCTCTTCTTAGGAAATTTCAAATTCATTTATTTGTATTAAAAATCCGTAAGCAGTTTGTCTTGTTGTACATGTTTAAACTAAATTACCACACATGCAATTACATCATGTCCCTTTAACCAAAAAGAAAACTTGTGCCACATCTATTTGGATTTTCTTCATAGTTATGCTAAACGACATATATTCCATTCCATATTCTTGGTTATAAACCTCATCGATCAGGGTAACCGAATAATAAAATATAGGACTATATAGGTATACATACACAGCAAAATCTCACATGAAATTTGACTGAGTTTTCGAGGATGGTTGATTAGGAGCACAGAGACGAGGCCAATTCTTGAACTTAGGAAATACTTTAAGAACCTTAATATAGGATTTAGAGATACAGTATTAGGATTAACCTCCCTAAGCTACAAAAGGTAAAAATAACTAGACTTCTCTTCAATTTCAAAGTAAAAGACAAGTAAAGAAACAAACATACCCTTGGTGACAACGTTTTACTTTTCCCCACACCCTTCTCTTTCAAATCTTAATTTTATACAATTATTATTATTATTATTATTATTATTATTATTATTATTATTATTATTATTATTATTATTATTATATATTTATATTTACATTTATATATACACACACACACTTACATAGTTCAAAAAGTATCATATGAGCGGTGCATTTTAACATGTTATGTCAAATAATTAACTTTATTTTTCTGGTTACAATTAAGCTTTGAGAGATTACCGTAAATGACTTAAAAGTGTAATTTTTTCAAGTTATCATCAATATATTAAAAATAAACTCTTATTAATATTTTTTATTTATTCGAACCCAAATCAAGGTAGACGAGAAAGAGATCTTGGGGGAGGAGCATGTACCTAAAGAGTGAAGAGGAATCTAAATTGTTTTGGGGTGGGGGTTATAAGTAATTAGCTGGACCTTGAAAGTTGAAGCTTTTGAGAGTGTGGGAGAAGGGGAGAATATTCCAAGGGCAAGAAAGTTCAAGAGCTAAATTCCAAAGATTATATAATAAACAAACATGGAAAGTGAATACATCATTAGATTATGATTAAGGGTTTTGTTTAGCAGGAAAAGTCAGCCCACAAAGAGACGACTGCTCATACTTCTAAAAATTCACTGCCTTTGTCAGTTCGCTGTCTTTTAACCCTTCTCACTCTTCTCTAAGCTCTACTTTTTTTATTTCTAATTCTACTATACTCCTATTAATCCAACACTATATTCAACCCTAACCCTACGCTACTTCTATACCAGTCAATGACAATTCTTTTTACTATAACAATAAATAAATTCCAAAACCAATAACTCCCAAGGATATTTTGTTATTTCAAATCATCTATCTTAATTCAGTGAAATTAGCCATTGACGCTTGACTCAAACAAACAAGACTGCTTAGATCACACTTCTTAGAGTGCAATCCTTCCTAAAAAACTCTCCCTAACATGTAAAAAAAAAAAAAAAATCTTTTTTTCGAAATTATTTTTTGGCCATGAAAATTTCAAATTTCACTTGAAGTATAATTTAAGAATTTTTCAAAAATTTGAAAAACTCCAAATAGTTGTTTGCCAAAATTTTCACTTCAAGTTTCTTACAAAAAAAAAAAAAAAAAAAAAACAGCTCCAAATTATATTTATGTCCAAATAAAATTATAATTTTCAAATATCATTTTCACTTAAAAAATAATTTCACTTAATTTTGGAATTTCACGACTCTTGTGTCCCACTTTGTGCACCGAGCTACTTGTTTAAACTATCTATCTTAAAAATATATTGAACTTCTTTGACTGTAAAATCAACACTAGATAGATGGGCCCTAAGATAGAAGTGTTTTAGTTTTTTAATTTCAATTTTCACACTGGAAAAATAGGGTAAAAAATAATTGGACTCATATGTATTGTGTAAGATACTCTCGCCGGTACCACTAGATGTAATAAGGAACGAAATTACCAATATGTGTGATTCTACAATTCAAGTATACAAAACTTGTACATATATTTGGGAAAGCAGATGTAAGTGAAATCATTGAAAAGTTGCAGACGGAATATATGAATATAAGGCTCAAAACAGTAAATCATTGATACCAAGAACTTTGTGTCGCATTCGCTTTGAGTAGAGATGAGAATTTTAGAGCACACATTATGGGTGGAGTTACGTCCCAATCTGGTATCACAACTATTTTTGTGTCAGAAATAGATATACCACAATATTAGACATTCCTTTAAGGAAAACAAAGATGCTTTAATTCACATCCATAAAAAGAAAAGCCATAAAGTTGCCTTTACTAACCTCATCTACCATTCAACAAAAATCATCCAAATATCAAACTACTACTAGTACTATATATCCAGTTTGAACTTTGAACTAATTCTTTGGATGAAAAAGGGAGGGTTTTAACACATTTGACTGATCCGTCAAAAATAATTAGAATCACTAATCGTGCCACTAGCATACGCATGCCACGGCCCACGGTGGCCTGTCACGGCGGACCTTGGGCCATTGACATAGGCATGCCATGGCGAATCTCGTGCTATAGTGGCCTGCCACGACCGACCCCGTGCCATTGGTACAGGCATGCTACGGCCGACATCGTGCCATTGACACGGCCGACCTCGGCGCATAGTGGTCTACCACGACCGACCTATATATATGTTGTGTATATTACACATTAATGTATAAAACTTATATATTTATTAACTATTATTTGTGGAGTGGCTGTACTGCGTAAAAATATTTTAAAAAGGGATTGGCTCAATTATATTTCCTTAGTATTGGGGGTGGGTAAGAAATCTACTGTTTAAGTTCATGGTGGGACTGCTTCTGTTCATAAGGACGATTATTCCCTTTTATGTTTGTGTGTGTGTGTATTCGTCGTTTCCTTTGGATATTACCTCATTGTTTTCGACAGTTGGGCACGTGCATGGTTTTTAACATCAATTCTTATGGATACAAAATCAACTCTTGAATCTACTCATTTATTCTTTCCCCTTTTAATTTCTCAATTTGAAACTTCTGTTTACTAATTCTAAAGTATGGGAAGAGTCAATGTTGTGTCATTTAGTCTTTGATCACTTCAGTTTGGAGCCATCTGGTTTACTCAACCAATCAAATAATCTAATGGATTAATTTACTGGTCGTTTTAAGTTCATGGCAAAATGATTTACTGGTCATTTATTCTATCCTTAGCTTGCAATCTTTCTGGGAAAAGGTTCCCACTTTCTTTTCAATAGCAAAGAAGCTTTTAAAGAAAATCTTAGGAAATAAAAGAAGTGGAGTATATACTATTTACTAACATTTAAATATTTTCATAATTGACACTAAAAAAAAAGAAAGATATATGCATAAACTCTTTAACTAATGGCAAAATCCAACTGCCACTTAAGATGTGTTTTTCCATTAAAGAGATATCCCTTCATGAATATATGCACTTTTAGGTAACAATCTTATTATTTCCCTCTTTTTTCTTCTTCCACTTAATTATAATTACTGCTTAATTGCCTAAACGAGTACCTTTGCATGATACACGGGGGCGAAGCTATGTGTGGTTAAAGGTGATAAACTGTCCTTCGCCAAAAAATTATGCTGTGTATAAGGCAAAATTTTATACTTATTATTGATTAAAAAATAGACTTTTAACACCCTTGCATAACCAACTGACAAAGGGTGTTCAAATTTTGAATATCCTTATTGTATTTTCTGGCTTCGCCACTGAATTGATACAATTAATAAATCAGTCCTAACTAGTAACATAACTAATTAGTAAACAAAATAAAGATAGAAGTCAAAAATTAACAAATTAGGAGGGCATATATCCATGTTAAACAGAAATGATATGCAGGATATAGTTGAAGTTTGTTTTGCAGTCTGAAGAATCTTAAAAGTCATATCTTTCCAGCTTCCATGTGTCCAAAAGAAAAGTTGAAAAGGAGACAAAAGCACTTTGTCACCTATATTTCAAACTTACTATTCTTACTATAAAAGAAGACCATATATACATTTATTCAAAGAGATTTCTCCTCTCTAAAGCCAAATATAATGATTTTACCCTAAAAAATTAACCCATCGTACACATTAAGAAAACCAACATCCAACATTTTATAGCTGTCAAACTGATCAAGACATACATATCATAATATCATTAAGATTAAAAGGACCTGCATATCTATGTGGGGTTAGGGCAAATATTTGAAGCATGTAATATATACTAATAATATAGTATTTATGAATTAATAACATATTAAAAGAACAAAAAGCAAAACAATTATGGGATAATCATTTCAATGGAAAGGTATGGAGTCTTCACTTTCTCCAGTCCTCATCATATGTGTCATCATGCACCGAGTTTTGTGTTTTTTGCCAACCCTCACCCTTTTTCAACATAACAAAATTATTATTATTTTTTTTTTTAAAAAAAAAAAAAAAAAACCTCCTCTTTAACTTTCACTTTTCACCGCCTCCCATAAGATACAAGTAATATTCAATTCCGACAAGAAGCAGTTAAAAGACTGCAGTATATGAGAATGTGTGCGTGAGACAACTAGAGAGAGAAAGAGATCTAATATATTTATCTTCCTAGTTCCATGTTATTTAGAGCAGAAACCTTAAATCAAGTGGTCATTCTTCTTTTGAGCTCTTCTCTTAATTCTACCAAGAAAGAAATCTAAATAATCAATCCTTTAAACTTCAGATTTAAATCTCAATCCTTCAAACTTCATATCTAGTTTTCTTCCTACAAAAAGATCAAATTAGCAAGCTTACTCTTTTAGTGAACTTGTTTTTGTAGATTGAATCCAAGCTAAGGAAATTAGTAGAAGATGACAGAGGAAGTGATCTCAAGTGGATTTAACTCAATTGAAGGATCCAATCCTCTCCCTCTCAAGAAAAAGAGAAACCTTCCAGGAAATCCAGGCAAGCAAACCCTCATTTTTTTCATTACCAACATAGTATTATTTTGTTGTGATGCCTTTCTGTAACTGTAGAGCCGAGGGTCTATCGGAAAAAGCCTCTCTACCTTCACAAGGTAAGGGTAATGTCTGCGTACACATTACCCTCCTCAAACCCTACCTGTGTGGGATTGGACTTGATTTGTTATGTTGCCTTCCTTTTAGCTTTACAAGCTACCATCATGTATATTCATGAATATTCATTTTTTTTTTTTTGATTCTTTATAATATAGCTTAAGAAAGGAATTAATGTCGCTATTATCATCACAGATCCTGAAGCAGAAGTGATTGCCTTATCACCAAAGACTCTGATGGCAACCAACAGATTCTTATGTGAAATTTGTGGAAAAGGTTTTCAAAGGGATCAAAATCTGCAACTTCATAGAAGAGGACATAATTTACCTTGGAAGCTAAAGCAAAGGACTTCAAAAGAAGTGAGAAAGAGAGTTTACGTTTGCCCTGAAAAGAGCTGTGTTCATCATCACGCTTCAAGAGCTTTAGGAGATCTCACTGGGATAAAGAAACATTACTGTAGAAAACATGGAGAGAAGAAGTGGAAATGTGAGAAATGCTCTAAACGATATGCTGTGCAATCGGATTGGAAAGCTCACTCCAAAACTTGTGGCACTAGGGAATATAGATGTGATTGTGGCACTATTTTTTCAAGGTAAAAACTCGTTCAACTCTCGAAATTCGAACTGCATCACATACTAACTGCTTATCATTTGGTATGGTTATTTATTCACAAGGGTTTCATTAAAGTCCCAAAAGAAGAAATATTAAGGAGGCTAATGAAGAATAATCTTAATTACCTTATGTGTGTAAAATGAAGTTTGCGATTGTGATTTGTTTGTCTTCTTCATAACCTGCAAATAGTGGAATTGAGGAAATTCTTCTTTGTCTGTTCTTTGGTGTCATTTTTAGGGGTTAGTTTACTGAAGACAAAATAGTTGCTCGTAATCAAAAGTCATTTTTTAGCACCTTATCTTCGTAGGTTAATATCTTTCTTCACTATAGTACTACTAGGGTCCTATAGAGTAGTGCACCTTCTTTTTTTCCCCTTTTCTACATTTTCACATTCATTAAAAAGTCTTTCTTTTGTTTTTCTTGTTCGTTTTATTTGTCCTAATGAGTTATTTTTGTTTTTTGGATTTTAGCTTTGATATCCTTAGGTTAATATCTTATCTTTATTCATCTTGGTACTAGGGTCCAAAGAGTAGTCCTTTTTGTTTTTCAATTTCTTTTGTTTTGAGCCGAAGGTCTATCGAAAATTGCCTCTCTACTCCCTCGGGTAGGGGTAAGGTATGCGTATACACTAACTCTCCAGACCCCACTAGTGAGATTTCATTGGGCCGTTGTTGTTGTTGTTGTTTTTTGCCATTTAAGTGTCTCCACTCTCACATTCATAGAAAATCGTAATTTTTTCTGTTCTTTTTCTTTTTGGCCCTAGACTTAATTTGATCTTATGATATTTTGAATTGAGCAGGCGAGATAGCTTCGTGACTCATAGGGCTTTTTGTGATGCATTAGCTGAGGAAACAGCTAGAGTTACTGCAGCATCAAATATGCACAACCCATTGGCTGGAAACAACATCAATTACCATTTCATAGGTTCCCCCTTAGGTCCAAACATGGCACAACATTTCTCTTCTCTTTTCAAGCCAATTTCAACCAACAACGAAAACTCAGACCCAATTATGAGAAGAGATCAACTGTCACTTTGGAATATGGAGCAAGTATCTCAACAACAGCAAACGATAGGTAACAATAACCTCCAGGAAATCCATCAAATAGGTCCTCTAATTCAAACTTCAGCTGCAGCTGTTTATGACACAAATACCCTTCTTGCACCACGTTCAAATCCTCCACCAGTAAATTACAACCATGTTAACTGGGAACAATTAACAAACACCTCATCTGCAAACGTAACTGTTCCATCACTGTTTAGTAACCAACACCAATCTCACCAGCAAATTACACCTTCTTCTACTGCTAGTATGTCAGCTACTGCTTTGCTCCAAAAAGCTGCTCAGATAGGAGCGACAACCACAACTACTGACCCATCATTTCTTGGAAACAATTTTGGGATGAATAATTGCAACGTCAAGAACAATAATGTTCAAGTTCAAGAAGTGAACAACAACAAGTTGTGTGGATTTTACGTTACTACTACAAATAACTCAATCACTACTAGTCTTGGAAGTGAAGTAGATCAGGGTTCAGTAAATGATTTATCTACGTTGAACCAGCTGCAGATGTATAATCCTCCTTCAAAACGTCGTCACATACAAACTCGTGAAGATAGTGTGACAGGAGGAGGAGTGGGAGGGCAAACTAGAGATTTCTTGGGAGTTGGGGTACAATCAATTTGCCACCCTTCTTCCATCAATGGATGGATATGATTAAGTTGGGCAATTTTATTTTCACATTTAATATTCTGTTTTAAATCGGCTTACAGTCTATGGTATCGGTGAAAGCCTTCCAATCAGTAGGTGTGTGAGTTCAATCCTCACTGTTTCATTCTCCTTATCTAATCCCCAATGTAATAAATTTTATTTTTAAATATTTTGTCTGAAGAAAGCTAAGGTGATACTCCCTCCAATCCCAATTTAGATCATGTAGTTTGACTTGACACAACGTTTAAGATAAATAAAAAGGCTTTTGAAATATGTAATCCTAAAAGTTAAAGGGGACAAAAACTTTGTGAGGCCATAACAATTGCGTGGTTATAAAATCTACTCATAAAGATATTTGTTTTCAAATTTTTGAACGCATTAGTAAGGAAAGTATATCATTTTTGAGTAATAAAGTGGAGTTGGGTGGAAAAGATGGGAGATTTTAGTATTTGCAAACTTTGCAGAGAAGAAAAGGTAGCAATTGAGTGCTTGAAGAAAGTTAAAAAGTTGGTCTGCAAAAAATGTTATCAAAGAGCTCAAGGAAGAGATCGATCCATGCATATTCTGTTGAACTCTCTTTAAAAGGATGGCTTTAATATTAAAGTGGGGTGCTTAGTGGGGACAATGTAGATAGCCCTTTTCAACTCCATTATTGCTAGCTTTCATATTTGTTCTACTTATTATCTTCTCAAACTGCTTATGAAAGATATTAAAATTAATGGCAAAAACCCTTGAATCTAGCCCGAGCACCTTAAAATAAGATTGTGTACTGTAACTTTTTTCTTGTTTTACACTACAGGAGAAGAGGTCTTTTAACGACCACTTCTTTACGAAAGGAAATTAATCCAGTCGTTATATGTATGCTTATAGCGGCCAATATTTATTCCGGTCGTTAAAGTCATTTTTTACTATATTTTTTACGAGGGAATAATTTCTTGTCTTTCAAATATATGTAATCCCCTCGTTATAAATCTGAATAAAATATAAAAATTTATGCGGTAACTATTTCCCTCCTTTATTTCCTCAACAACTCCCGCCCATATCCCCCAAATTAATCAGAAAACCCCTAAAATCTCTCAATCCTAATGTTATCCAAAAACGCGCGTACACCAGATTCAGCAAAGAGGGCAAAGAATCACGAACAAATAGGCCGTCGCTGCAACTGCCCGCAACTCCATCGGCGAGTTCTAGCGATCGATTATATATACAGAGCAAAACTCAACTAAAAATCACAAAACGATTTGGTCTTCTTGCTGTACGCAACTTATAATCTGTGTGCTTTGTGGTGAATCTGTGTCAACGCTAATAGGTGGGTGTTAACGCTAATAGCTGGGTGTCAATGCTAATAGCAATTGGTTCTGTTACTTGCTGTGGGTTCTGTCGACAACGCAAGCAGCTTAATTATACGATTTGGTCTTCTTGATGTGCTTTCTCGTCAAGGTAAACTCAAGTCACTAAATTTGTAGTTGTAATTATTGTGAAATTGGGCTTTTTGTTATCTCTCTGCTTTTCAAATCGACGCCTTCCAGATTTATATGATAATTGTTCTGTTTCCAGTATGTTTCTTGCAATTTTTCAATGCACAGAACCAACTGCTTTCCATCAAAGTTGTTGCTTTCCTCATATTCTGCTTTCTCTGCCATTTTATGCTTTTTATTATAATGCACGATAGGTAAAATTTTCGAATTCTTAATCTGTTATAGTTTGCGAGAGAGGTCCTATACGCGTTGCAGCTAGAAATTCTTATAAGGGGATTCAGAATTTACACATAATTCAATCTTTTATATATGTAAAAAAAAAAAATTGCCTCCTATTTGCACATTATAATTTTTCGGCGTAGCGAATTCAATTGAATTATTTGATTACATGTGGCTCTGCATTGCCTGTATGAAAAAAAGAGTAAAATCATATTTGTTTCAGAAGGTGTTCTTTGCCCAATGTTGGAATCGAATATTTTGTCATTCTTCTTCAGCTTGCCTATATAGCATACACCAACCTATTTAGTGGTAGAAAATTATTATTAATAATAAGTGTGCTCCGTACAAGTTCATCAAAGAGAACTCAAAGATTGAGAAACTTAAATCCTAATTGACTTAATTGTGACTACCAAGATTTCATTACTTTCCATGGCAGAGTGAGAGAACAATTTATCACATAGAGTCCAAAAAAAGAAAACTATACCTTAGTTCCTGGGAAAGTTCTTTTCCCATCCGGCTTGCCCATTGCCAACTCCTCTATGATCAATCCATTTCCATAGGTCCTAAATTGAGAAGACTTAGCCGCTTCATTTTCCTCCACCTCGTGTGATATTCTTTTTTATTTTGTTCAACCTCTGTAACTGCTTTTCCATCATGTTGATTTTTCTTGTTCTTTTTGCTTTTTCTTCTTTTTCTCAATATCCCTGGAAGTTTTAGTGGAAAAAAAAGACTTCTTACTAGTAAAAGCAATAGAGTTTGATAAAAGATAACAAACATAGCACATGGAACTGGCCAGGAACTAGAAGAACATGTAATTGGATAAAACTTAAAGCTAGATGACGCCTTTAGTTATGCAAATAACAATTCAGATTCCTCATGAAGCATATCAGCCATTAACTTTATTCTTTTCTATTCTAGACTACACTAGATCAGAACTTACTTTTCGTCAATTGACCTCTGAACATCTTTAGTTTTACCTACTGAAAGTGGCTCATCATTAGCCTCTGCATGCTCTGAATTGTTGTTTGATCCATTTTCATGAGCCATGAATCAACGCCAAAATCATAGTGCATATTGCTCCCAAGTAGTGTCACTTCCACTAATTACTTGCTTTTTTTT